CGTCATTTTTAGAAAAATAAAACAAAACAGGCTCCTTTATTGCTATATTTACATTTATGGACGAATTATTTAGCCTAAAACATTATCAAATATATTACGAAATTAATATGAATCTTCTTTTTTCTGCCTCCTCCGTGAGGCTTTCTGCTCATGAACCACAGACAGTCGTCTTGTCTGCGCCATCCTGCCTGGACGTGCGCAGGGATCTATCCCGGAATGAACGCTACGCCGTATCGCGAATCGTCCAACATGGCCGGCCAGGAGGACCCAGTGCAGAGAGAGATTCACCAGGACTGGGCCAACCGAGAGTACATAGAAGTGATCACGAGCAGCATCAAGAAAATCGCCGACTTTCTGAATTCCTTCGGTGAGTTTCCAACGAGCAGTTCCGCGGAACCCACGCTTCGTTTCGTGTGAATTTGTGGAGCAAGCTAGCTGCTGGTGCTAGCCTTCCTGTGTGTGGCTAGCACTGGTGTTGATGTTTTTCAATGGCCACTCCCATGTAGCAGTTAGCTTTATCATTAGCTGCGGGCTGGTTGCTGTTTTCTCGTACAAATACGACAGTTTGGTGATGATGTGCATTACACTTTGATTTAAGTTGTATTAGCTGCCTACAAAGTGCAGTCAAAAGACTTCTACAGTCGAGTAGTGTCATAGCTAACGCCAGTCTAAGCTACTGCTAACGCTAGCCTGCTCCGCTGTCATTTATGTCATAGCAGTAGCTGCAGAGTCACTCATCCAAGTTACCAGCAGGGATGTTGTCCTTTCTTATGGACATTACAGACATGCTGCTCCACTAATATGTTACAAATGATAACAAATGCAACTTGATTCCATCAGATATGTCGTGTCGATCCCGTCTGGCCACTCTAAATGAGAAGCTGACAGCGCTGGAGAGGAGGATTGAATACATTGAGGCCAGAGTAAGTTTCCTGCAGTGGAATTCGAACGATCCGATGGCTTGTTTTAATATGAATATCTCAAAACAAATGTAACATCATTGAAATGTGTGTCTCATTCCAGGTGACAAAAGGAGAGACTTTGACCTAGACCTCATCATGGAGATCCATAGCATCCTGGAGCTACCTGCCCCCCCACCCCTTCCAATTCCCCTTCACCCTGAGTCTTTGGATTAAGTGATATGGATTCCACCTCCTTTTCTGGGGCCATGTGGACCATTTTTTATATTAAATGGTTTAAGTTTTGTGTTGTTTTTACCTCATGATGCATTTGTATAGAAGATATCGGTCAGTCTTGGCCGTCAGCGATTCAAACATGATCAATGTTACAAAATAAAAAATAAATTCCATTAGTATTGGTTTTAAAAACATCATGGAGCTCAGTTATGGATCTGGTATCAGCACAATTTGTTAACTGTCTGTGTTGTATGCACTACCATTAACACATCAGAGATTTATAAAAGAGGAACATTCTTGTGTGCCATGTTGAACAAGTTATTGTGGCGTCATCTTTATTAAGGAACCATGCTTGTACAGTTAAATGTTTGGTGATGTTTTGGGATTTAAATACTGTAATAAATGCTAAACAATAACTGTGTTTCCCATAGCAGCAAATAATTATCTGCGCAAGAGTGATTCATATTATGAAATGTGTTTCTAGAGTGTAGTTCTCAGTTGTGCTCAATATACTCAAACAAAACAAAGACATACAGATAAATAACAAGGGAAGATCAACACGTGCAGTATCTTAAAAACAAACAAGCTGGACAGCAAACATGCCCTGTTGTGCATATTGTACACAGGGTCATCATCATATAAATAAAACACTATTATTGCACAATCTGCATATCTAACAATGTAATATTGTAAGTAATGCATTAATATGCAGGACTTAAATGATGATTCTCCTTCTGTGGAATCAGCACAGCCCTCCATGCCATTTAAATATGCTTCATGTCTTAAACAACAGAAATGATGAGAGGACGTCATACATACACACATCAGAGCGAGGCACCATATTTCATTTTGTAGCTCTGCAAAAACAGGTAGAACCAAGTCAAACTTCCAGATCAATTATTCCAGCATTCACATCACATGAAATAGATACAAATGTATGATATAAATACATTTAAGCGATTACAATTTTATCATTTTTTTTGATTAAATTGAATGGAGTTTAATCAACAAACAACAATTTAAAGAGGGTATTGAATCAGTACAAACATGGCAAGATACATGACGATATGTACAGTAAAATGGCGGTCTGGGAATAGTTTTGCCCTCAGTATAGAATTTCAGGCACCACCTGAACAATATTCGAGTAACATGGCGTCCTTCTCTAGCGGTGGCAGACAGCAGTAATATTATGCGAACCCAATAAGCCATCTTCATATCATTACATCCCAAATAGTACTCGTAATATCAACATAAAAGACCGATTTTAATTTCCTGTGCCTATGAGGGAAACTCTGGGCAGGATATTACCCGTGATGCACCGGGTTGTGCACCAATGCATCTTGGGAAGAAGAAGGTGCCATAGTGGTGTTGTCGAAAGTCCTTGAACGTGAGATGAATTCAGCTGTTTGTAAATCTTCCAGTATTGTTTTGAAACAGTAAAAGTTATCAACTACACTGCGAACAACCGACACCGGTGAGTGACTGCGTTTTCACAGCAGAGACATTTTACCGCCTATCGTTTGCTGAGGTTAGACCGTGTCCATGTTTTTGCAACCGTCCTGTTGTGCGCATGTTAACTAGATGGTTCGTTTGTAGGAGACTTGTGTCGTGTGTGCGACGATGTCAGTGTTAAAATAGCAACGTGGCGTTTGCATGGTTGTAATCTGCATTATTTATTTCTACAGGTCGTGTGATTGTGGAAGCAGAGTGGAAAATGGGAGCCGATAAAAGGTGAGTAACTGCTCCGGCGTCTGTCGCCATGCTAGGTGTGGTTAGCCAGAATTTCAGCTCAGTGACCCGTCCTTTGGAGGACTCAAAATGTCTGTAGTCTTAATTGTCGGAAATTAATTAAGGTCCAGTTCACTTTTGTATTCCAGGAATGAGTAATCTGTACGAATATGCAGACCATGTAGTATCCTACAGAACCCCCCCCCGTTATTAATGATTGCAGTCATCCCTATATAGTTGATTTGACGTTTTCCCAGGTTAAATGAGGGGAAATTATAATTTGATGTTGATGCCTGATGGGACATTTCTTATGACAGTGGCCAACTCCATCTTGGAAGCAAGTTTCCATACATTAGCATTATATTTGAAAAAAGTACACATACTAAAAGTTAAAATCTAACTGTAAATCAGTGGCTGCTTTGTAGCTCATGCAGAGAAATCAAGATCAACTAACTTTTCAATCTTGATCTTGTAGTATTTCTAGAAATATTTTGTTGGTGTGTTATCATAAACAGTGTTTTTAATGTTGTTAAAAACTAGTATAAATGTTTAAGATGCCTTTTATCCACATGCATTACAAAAATCTATACATGTAAATATTTGAGACAGGGTTATTTATGTACTATGGTCATCAAGAATTGGTGAAGTTGAGCTTGATGATGTAGTAGTATTTACTTGGATCACTTAAAAAAATGCAATGTTGTGCTGATGTTTTACTTTTCCATTTTATGCTGTCCCTAATAGGATTAGTCGGACAGAACGTAGCGGTAGATATGGCTCTGACCAGGCCCGTGATGAATCAGAATGGCGTGATAGAAGAGAGAGGGATCCGGAGCGTGAACACAACATGCGCCGCTGGGGGGAAGAGAGACGTAGTGAACGTTATGAGGGTGGAGACCGTCGAGCATCCAGAGACAGTCCAGAGGTAGTTATTCAAATATGTCCTGACTTAAAAATCTACCATGATGTTTTGGTTGAAATGTTTTGTTCTTTGAGGACATTATTATGCAATTGATGTATTGATTGTATTTGTTTTAAAGCAAAGAGACCGTAAACGACGCAACAGTGATAGATCAGAAGATGGTTATCACTCGGATGGTGACTACCCAGAGCAGGATTACAGAAGAGAGCCTGGGGATGAGAGGAAGAGCAAGACCATCATGCTCTGGGGTCTGTCTCCTCATGTCACTGAGGATGATGTAAGTATTAACTCTTTGTGCCTAATTTTGTTGTATGTGTGTTAACAATTCACTCTGTTGGATGACATGCCATTTTTAAATGGGACAGGTTCAGTATAAAAACGTGAAAGTACAATCTTTGTGTTGTTATTTAGATTCGTTTTGCCATTGACCAGCTGGAGGGACCCCAGCCAGTGGATGTCAGACTGATGAAGAAAAAAACAGGTGAGAACCAGATGTAAAAGACGGACCCCAACCTTCCCCCAGTCTTTGACCATAGGGCCAAGCTGCTTCCATTCAGACCCATTTTCCTATAGCAACTAATAGAATTTTATCAAATTACTTAACAGACTTTTCATTTCAGTTAATTGTGGATCTTTTCCAAGGTAAGTAACAGAAGCAATAATAGTTATGAAAAAGTCAGTTGGTAGACACTCACTTTGATGTTGAGTGTGTTTCAAATAGTGATATTCAGCAGGATTTCTTGCTATAGTAAAACTCCTAAGGAGTGGCCCATTGTGTACAAAAAAGGGCCTGGGTTGTGAAGCAGTTTGTGGAAGACTTTGAATAATATTCCCATGGACTCTTAACTAACACGCCTCCCGTCTATATTTGAATGCTGTCTCTAGGTATAAGCCGTGGTTTCGCCTTCGTGGACTTTTATCACTTGCAAGATGCTACCCGATGGATGGAGACCAATCAGGTTGCTTCACAATCGCCAAGTCTAGTTTTAATCTTGGGGATCTGGAAAAATAACCTAAAAGGCAACCAAAGTGTATTAAATAAGTAGTGTGGAAGCTATTAATCATTTAGAAAAAAAATTGTGTGTTGCAGAGAGAAAAAAAATGTTTATACTAATATAGATGGTTATAAATGATTTCTTTTTTAAGTATTTTGATAAGTTTATATAATGGCAATAGCATCAGAATTGCAGATTTTATTCAGATTGTGAGGTCATCTCCTTAAGGAATTTGCATTTAAGATAAAGAACACATCATTACCCTGCTGACAGAGCCCTCTCAGTAGATTTTTTTTTTATTTTCATTTTTTTAACAGTCACTCTCTTCCTTAACATTTCTGTGGGAAGCCAATACATGTCTTTTAGGGTCACATTGTACACTCTGCTCCAGCTTAGTCTGGGCACGCGGGTCCCAAACACCTAAAGAACCCTCTATACATCATGCTCACATATACATCATGTGGCTGTCTTTAACACAAGGCTATCTGATGGGGGTCCCTCTTCCCCTTCTCTCCCTTCCGACACTGCTTGCTCTGTTGATGAGATGAATTCTCACCACTAGCACTTGGTTGACATTTGTCCTCCTCTTTCAGAAACGCCTGACGATCCAAGGCAAAAGTGTGGACATGCACTACAGTCACCCCAGAAACAAGTATGAAGACTGGCTCTGCAACACTGTAAGTCTTTAGTTTCATGGTCACATCACCTTAACAACGTTACTACAAAACACTACACAAACACACACATATTTGGTCTTTAAATTACAATTGTTAGTTGTGTCAGCTTATTTTTTTGGTTACACCTACATTTGGATGAGCGGTAAAGGTTAGGTTGTGTCTGAGGTAAGTATGGTATGCTGCACCAATATAGACTGGCTGCTCTCTGAGGCAGCACTGTGAAGGGCTTTAGTAGGTGTATAATAAAAATGATGTGAACGGTTACTTGCAGTGTGGCCTGTACAATTTCCGGAGGAGGCTGAAGTGCTTCAGGTGTGGAGCAGCCAAAGCTGGTAAGTAGTTAATCAACAAGAGGCCACTGACAGGCTGAGGCAGCAGTGCCGGGATGCAACGCAAAGCTTGTGTTCTTGGAGTTGCACAGGCCTAGTAAACCAAGTGATATGGATTGTTTAGTGTTGACACTGTCAGATGTAGGCAAAGTGCATAGATTGGGAAAGAAGCATGCATTTTTCCTTTCTACCTGACAGTAACACAAAATGGGGAATAAACACAAAACATGGAATTGATGAGATAGTCAAACTGATACTGTAAACATTTTAGCACAAGTTTTTGACACTTAACTTTATATCTCATTTCCAATTCTTTAATTCCTCTGCTCTGAAGTTGATGTTAATGCACCTCTTACCTCTGTCATTCTCTCAACAGAAAGTGAAACCAGCGGTAATACAGGAGTCTCTGAAACTCAATCCAGTGGAGATTTCTATGGCGACAGTAAGAGAGTTCTATTTTACATATGCCATGTTGCACTTTCTGTCAGTGGTAAATTGTTTTTAAATATAGACTTTTGTTCTGGACAGCAATCATCCTGAGAAATATTGCTGCCATGACAACTGTGGAAGCCATCATGACGGCCATTGCACCATATGCTAATCTGTCATCGAACAATATTCGCCTCATCAAGGACAAGCAGACGGGCCAGAACAGAGGCTTTGCCTTTGTACAACTGTCCTCTCCACTGGTAAAGTGTTCTTTATATCGACAAATGACCATAGTCACAATGTGCTGTTAAATTCTCAACCACCGAACTTACCACC